ATCTTCTTTAATTTAAATGTATGATTATCAAATAGGACATTGTGAATACAATACCAGCAAAAAATTAACGATATGACCATTTGTACCTGTGAACATATACATGTGCCTAGTTTTAGACATCATATAATTCTACAATTCGTTTATAACATCAAGATCTATAATATTCTAATATTGCAATTTATAATTTTCATAATAAACAAGTCTTTAAAAATATGTATGTGAGTATTATTTAAAAAATATTGGTACTATTTAACATTCAAAAATATTTTATATAGAATTTTGACTTTAATGCTGGTACCATAGAATATCTGACGTGATGTGCGCTTTAAATGGTTGTTTTTATGTTTGTAAAAAAATAAAATATTTTTTTTTGTTAAAAGTAAAGCTCGAACTTGATTTTAAACTAAAATAATGAATCAATTGAAAACAGACATAATGGTGGGTATAACATTATTAAAGTTTGTCAAAGAAAACTAAAACTGCAGATATCACACTCTTCATTAAATGTTTTAAATTTCGTGTATATTTCATCGTTTCAATCTAAAAATCATAAAGAAGCAAAAAATATTCCAAAGAAAATTTAAACAAAAATTCTACAATTATAAATATGATATTTTAAATATTTTTTAAAGTTAAGGTTTCTAGATTTTGTTTCAAAAAAATAAATATGTTTGCAAAAATGCATATCATTAATTTTGAGCCCAAAAAGAGGAGCAGAGGCAAACATTACAGACTGCTTTACTTTTAACAAAAAAAAATTTTAACAAACATAAAAAACAACCCTTTTAAGCGCAACTTTTATTTCTGTCAGATATTCTATGGTACCAGCATTAAAGTAAAAATTCTATATAAAATATTTTTGAATGTTAAATAGTACCAATAATTTTTAAATAATACTCACATACATATTTTTGAAAAGACTTGTATAAGAAAAAGTGATGTAAAAAACGATATGTATTTATATTTGTTCAAAAATGGTTGAAATGTCTTAAAAAATTTTTTAATTTTGTTTTCTACACACACATTTTGATTGTTATACATATTTTAATTTTTCTTTAATTGTTAATATTGCAGAAAACTTATTTTTAAGACACTTTTATTCTTTTAGTAAATACTGGAAATATGTCTTATTTGCAATGTTAGAGGTCACAAATATCTTAAATGAAACTTTTTAATATCAAATCTAGACTGTTTTTCGAAAATATCAGATTTTCATACTTTTAATGATTTTATGCAGTGAAACAATCTTCGTTATAGAAATTGAAATACTATATTTGTTTTTGTAGACGCACACCTACATATTAATAGTTGTTATACCACTTTTTTTAATTTTTGCTGACCACAAATAACTGTAAATTTAAAGTGCAAAGAGAGACAAGAAAAATCAATCACCAATTTTATTTGTATTGTAACTTTAGTGAATTAAAGTGAATGTGTTTCTAGTTAAAAAATATAAAATATATATATTCTAGTAAAGTTCTGGACGCCAACCAAAAATTCGGTAATACTACTTAAGTTACAAACTGATAACTTATAATATATGTATGTCTATTTTTCCCTACAGCTCCTGAAGACAATACTGGAATTTGTTTACAAAGTTTAAAATACGATAACCTTTGTGTCGAAAATTTTAAGGCAACATAGTCTGCTTGTGTAAAATTTCATATAAACCAAATACATTCTGAATGCAAAAAATAGTAAGGAAGCTGCTACACAATGGCCACAGTACAGAGGATCGATTGATTCACAATTGGTAAGTATCTACAGTCCAAAAATATACTTACATACATATATGAGAACTATATATACATTAGACCGAGTCACAAAAAATGGTGCTTGAGTTACCCCCCTCAAAATATTCGCTGTTATGTAATCTGATGTTACCCAATTTTCGGTTAAGTGTTGTCCATTCGTGAGCTGGACGATTTTTCATGTTAAATTCAATATTTTACCCAGCTTCAAATAATCTTTGTTATGTTTTATAATGGTTCCCAAAATTTTTCTAGTCTATCGATGGCCGTTCGTGAGCTGGACCGTTTGCAAAAAAGTCTCGTTTTAGTTTTTTTTTAAATTTTACAGTATTTCTTAAACAAAATATACAATATGTGGTATCATTTGAAAGGTTTTTTGAAGCTAAGTCGAGTGGTGCGCAAAATTTAAAAAATTGTGCATATTTTTTTATTAGTGGAAAACCTAACAATTTTAAATATTTTGGAATATGACAATTATGAGCAGACGGTTATTTATGATTAATACATCATTGGACGCGGCTTTAAAACCTCGTTCAAACGATACCCCATATTAGATATTTTGTTTCAAAAAAAAAAAAAAATAATAATAATTCCAAAATACCTTTTTTTTATTTGGTCCAGCTCAGGAACGGTCATCGCTAGACTTAAAATATTTTGGGAATCGTCATAAAACAAAGCAAGGTAAATTTTTAGAGGGATAACAAAAACATTTTTTTTTTGCTTTCCATACAGAGTGAGTTGGTCTAATATACATACATATATTATTAAATATTATATATTTAAAATATTTTTATAACTTTATTAATGTTGTATACTGATTTACATATTTATGCATTTATTTTTTAATTTAATTACTTATTTATTTATTTATTTACAGATTAATTTGGATTTTAAAATCATACAATGATACTACACAACGATCACAGAATGTGATCCCCAGCAATTCAATTATTTTCGTGGAATATTTTAATAATATTTTCTATTTATTTATTTGTAAGTATGTATGTATGTAATTGTCTATTTTATTATTAAATTTAATTTTTTTTATGTACAGAAATACGTAAAATAAAATCAAAATATATTATTAAAATTAAAAAAAATATATGTTTTTATTTAATAGTTTTGAATAGGAAACAATTTCATAAAAACAATGAAATATATATCATAATATTATGATATAGTTTCATAAAATGTGAGAAAATTAGTCATACAAAATCATTTTACTAATGCAACTAAGTTGTTCAGTTAGCGCAACAATTACATGATTTTAATGGAATATGATAATTTTTGCAACGAAATTACTTCATGACGTTTATGAAATTTATTCATTAAATTAAAATATAATTTAATTTTGTCAATGAAATAGTTTCACTATTGAAATGAAAATGCTTCACGGCGTTTATGAAACATATTCATTGAACAAATATCAAATTTAATTTTATCAAGGAAATAGTTACACAGTGGAGTCAAAAATGAACATGCATAACACTAATGAAACATTCTCCATTAATTCATTAATCAAGTGTTGAAATTCATGTCTGGAGTGCAGCTTTTTCTCTTAGTGTACGGATTACAAACAATTAAATAAAATGATCTAACAATAGAATTGTTTGATCATAGTAACTGAATCAAAAGTTCTATACACTTAGGTTAGGTTAGGTTAGGTTGATAGGAGGATGTATACTACATCAAATCCGAAGAAATACACCTAGGCCACTATCGGGCCTGTTGTGCGCTCCAATTCAAGAAAAAAAAAAAAAAAAAAAAAAAAAAAAAAAAAAAAAAAAAAAATTGTTTACTGAATGTTCAGAAACTCAGTTTCCTGGACGTAATTCCTAAGAATCTTCCAATCGGTGTTGGTTAAGAATGTTATTTCCGGAATAACATCACTTCCAAGATACTTACACTTAAAACTTAAAGATTTTTTTTTTTTTTTTAAGTTGTATTCTTGAGTAAAAGACCTATAGAAGAAAAGACAAAAACAGTCGAAATCAGTAACAAGAAGAGAATCAACGTCAATAATAAAATATGAAAAGACTCGAACTTTTGAAATCATGTAATTTTCTCCGTTAAATTTTTGGTTAATTTTTTATGTTTTAATAAATACTGGAAATATGTTTCTTCAGGAATTTTAGAGTGAATGATTTGGAATAGTGCGCTTCTCAGACGTACTGTTTTTAGCAGTACGCATACTTTTGTTTAATTATTATTCTTTTAACTGCATAATCCCGCAAATGTACTTCTTTTTAAATAGATAAATCTCATCCATTTTAAACCTCCATCAATTCTTCAAAGATAAAATTAAAACATTTTCTATAGTCAAGAGATATTTTAATAAAGAAAATAAAATTTGGACAAAAGTTGTAAGTAAAGGTTGGAAACAAAAAAAAAAAAAAATACTTTTTCAAATGAAAATATTTAAGTGTCTATGCAGCATATGAAAATGGATAGATTTCCAATAGCGAGATGTCTCAAAAATATATTTTTTATTTTTGATTAATATTACAACCCAAATAAAAAACTAATAAATGTAAAAAGGGCAGAGAATCAGTTTTGAACACTACTTTTAATACAACTATGTTTAAAAATCCTACGAAGTCATTGATATTATTTTAATTTTCATAAAGTTTTTGTTTTTGCTGAAGCATTTTCAAATATATATCAGAATTTATGACTAAAGTCATCTCTAAGTCGAATTTTGTAACACATTTTCTAAACTATTTTTATTTTTTTTTACATTCAATGAAATTATATTGTTTTATTTTCATTACTGCTTGTCATTTTCATTACTCGGTCTATATTCATATATATAGCATCTTATTTAACTATTAGTGCAATTTACCGTTGTGTTAAAAAAATTTTAAGAATATTCTTAATTTTTTTTATTTTTAATTTTTTAAAGTTGCAGGTATCTTTGAGGAACAAATTTTGTTTATTTATTTAAATTCTCTAAAGCAACGGTTCCCAAATGGGGGTCCGCGGACCCCTAGTGGTCCGTAGTAAAATCCTAGGGGGTCCGCGAAGACGAACGAAAAAAACCATGAATAAACAATATTCTGCTTTTATATGTATGTACAAATATATCCAATTTTTGTGCAATAATCCCAAATTTTTTGGTGACTTTTTGAATTTTATTTTTTCGGTTGTTTATCAGGAAGAAGCTAGTCCCTACAAATTTATTGTATAACTTTTATAAAGTAAAGTACTGCGTGATTTGTAATTTTTATTTCCTGTATATGTACTGAAATAATGGTTTTTATTTCAGACTGGTATTCCAGAGTATGAAGTTCAATTCAAATACAAGCTTATTACAGATTTAAGTTTATCAAATTGTAAGCAAAAATGTTCTCGTTTGAAAGGACAACAATTATATATTTCCAAAACAGAGGTGACTCTTTATGCATCTCTTTATAAATATTACAATCCGACGTGATACACAGATTTTAACTTGATTTTGTCGACCAATACATATTATTAAATTAACATCAGAAAATCCATAGCGTTTCGCGTAAATATGTAGCCAAAAACCATGAAGTAAAATAATTCGTTGGTATTTTAAAATTCAAATTTAAGTTCCAAATTCACACTACTTTAACAAAGAGTTCAAATCATATATTATGCGGATAACGCATTCCGCAACAACATAGAAGAAGTCCAACTTTCTTATATTATTTTCCCGAAAACTTAGCTCACTTACTCAGTTCACCCTTTGCAATCGCAACAAATTTTTGAAACGTGACTCCTTAAGCACATGTGACAATATTTGATAAAGAAACCTTTTCGCTACCTTGAAGAAAAATGAACATGAAAGATCTCACGATCATAAAATTAAACATCATGTTAACATATCAACAAAGAAGTCATTCTATCTTCAAAACATGCAATTGAAAACCTATCTGAAATATTATATATTCTCAATGTACGGGAAAAAAAATATGTATGGGGGTCCGCGAAATTAAATAAGCTCTTCAAGGGGTCCGCGAAGTAAAAATCTGTGGGAACCGCTGCTCTAAAGTACACAGAATTAGAAAAGTACAAAATCCTTAAAATATTGTAATGGGGGCTGTAACAATTGCATTTGAAAAATTATTATTTTTTAAAATTTTTAAAAAATTGCCCAACAATTATTTTTCAATTGCTAATAAATTTGTGGATTTATAAGCTGAATGATAACATTGGACTAAAAGTAAAAATGGATTGATATTGTCCAGAATTCACAAAAAGCAAAACGTATGATCTTTAATATCTAAAATTGAAAATGTAATTTTCTTTCGTTTCCATCCTTTAATACCCGTAACTCAGTAATATGATTTGATATTTTGAAGTCGAAATATATGTACATACATATCTAAGTTATGGAAACAGCATGAAAATGCTCTTATACAAATATTGAAAACTGTCTTAAATAAAACTGACCTAAACAAGTTTCATTGAACCTGAAAATTTTTTGCTGACAGTTAATAAAATATTTATAAAAAATTGTTTACAAATAAATTCGCTGAACATTAAAAATATAATATCAATTTACAAATAATTATGTTGCAATGTAGCCACATAGGCTACATAATATAAAAATAAAAAAAATTCAAGATAGATTTTTTGTTTTATTTGATTCTAAATTTAGTTTTTAGAAAAAAATATGTAAAAAAATTCTAAATAAAATTTTTAAAAATTTCACAAAATTATTGTTTTGAAGAATTTTATGCAAAAATAACACGTAAAAAGTTTTAAAACTGTAGAGTTGCCACAGTTTTTAATATTTAAGTAAAAAATGTCAGTTCTCATTCTCGTGGACCTTCCTTTACGTGTGTACAAAATTTTGTCCAAATCGGTGACACTGGGAAAATTCTTTTAAATTTAAAATGGAATTCCTCAATGATAAAATACTACAGAAAATTTTTTTAAACGGTGACTTTGACTGCGTGCAGTAGAGCAGGGTTAGACATTTTGCAAAAATCGATTGCGAATTTGAATACATTGGAGTATTAGTAATAAATTATATATAATTATATGTATGTAAATTTGTATTCGTGAATTATATGAAAAAACATAGAATCTATGTTATTATCAAGCCTGAAGACAGTGTGTTGTCCAATATATGTATGTATATTATGTGATATTTCATTCATAAAAAACTTCCTCACAAATTTTAGGAAAAAAAATTGATTTTTAAATTTAGTTTTTAATTTAACTTGTCAAATAAAACAGAAAAATTTAGTTTTTGTTTACAAATAATTAGTTTTTAATCATATATCGGGATCATTTTTCAATAATATTTTAAGCGTGCAACTTATTAATCACTCTTAGTTCATCGAAAAGAGCCAAAAAAGACTCAGTTTACTGATTGATCATCCAACAATATTCCAAAATATTAAAAAAATATTTGTTGTTTATTGCAGAAAAAACATTTTTTGGATTGTGTGCTTCAGTCAATGTCGGTGAATGTCATGGAAGAATTTTTAAAAGTAATCAGAATTCTTCAATATGAATTTTCGACAGTTGAGGAAAAGTGCAATGCACTAGATTTATTGAGAGACTACATCGATAATATTGATTTTGCAAATAGTTTTACTAAAACAGAAGGTGCAGATATTCTAATCCAATGTGTAAAAGATGATAATAGTTCGGTTCGCTCAAATGCTATTAACATAATTGCAGAAATGTCGCAAAACAATACATTTTGCCAACAATATTTCTTAAATTTTGATATTATTAAATTGTTAATTGAATACTTAAACAGTGATGACTTGGAAGTTCTCTTAAGTACTCTCTATGCATTATCAGCATTAATAAGGAATTATGAACCGGGTTTGATGGAATTTAAAAACAATTATGGTCTTACTCGGTTAATTAAATGTTTAAGTACTGAATGTTCCCGTGTGTTTGTAAAGGCGTGCTTTTTAATAACATCATTATCTTCGGAACATTCTTCAATAAAAGGTAAGAATTATGTAATATTTTTTAATGCTCTATTCGACTAGGATATGCCAATTCTCATATTTGCGAACAATTTATTGCAATTTCTTGTATAAAACATATTAAAAAAAACAGTGGTGGTAAAAATAATAGAGTAGTATATTTGAAGGGATTCTAGCACACTTTTTAGTGACAGACATTGCAACCAAAATGTTCGAAGGTTTGATGGCAGTTTGGTTCGATGCAACCAGAAGAGGAATTTAAATGTTAATAACATCATTACCTTCGGAACATTCTTCAATAAAAGGTAAGAATTGTGTAATATTTTTTAATGCTCTATTCGACTAGGATATGCCAATTCTCATATTTGCGAAAAATGAATTGCAATTTCTTGTATAAAACATGTTAAAAAAAAACAAGTTATAGTGCTATATTTGGCTGAACCGAATCTTAAATACCCTCCACCAGATAATAATAAGTTTTTAATGTCTTAAATAGAAAAATCCCAAGAGTTAGACAGTTTCAATCTGTTACCATTGCAAGATTTATTGAACATTACAAACGCCATTTTTTTATTTTAGAGCGCCCTAAGATATGCTGTTAAAGTGATTTTCGGGGCAGGACCTAGTATGGGAGATATGACCAATTATAGACCGATCGGAAAAAAATTTCACAATAACATTTCTTTATTTAAGAGCGATACTTGTACCACATTTTATATGGATTTAGTAATTTTGTAATGAGTTATGTGCGTTTAAGTAATTTTCTGGAGGGGACCTTGTATGGGAGATATGACCAATTATGAAAAAATTTTATAGTGTCATTTCCGTATATAAGAGCAATATTAGTGCTAAATGTGTGGATATCAATATTTGGTAATAAGTTATGGGCGTTTAAGTGGTTTCCGGGAGGGGAACTTATGAAAAAATTGTATACAGTCATTTCTGTTTATAAGAGCAATATTTGTGCTAAATGTATGGATATCAATATTTGGTAAGTGATTTTCGGGAGGGAACCTTGTATGGGAGATATGACCAATTACGGACCGATCGGAAACAAATTTTTCAGTAATATTTCTGTATATAAGAGCAATACTTGTACCAAATTTTATATGAATATCTTAATTTAGGTTAGGTTTTAGGTTAGGTTTTGCAGACTGCTTACTGACACGAGTAAGTCTTTACTTGGGTCCTATTAGGTCCCTTTGTAACGTCTGTAAAGAGAGAAGATAAGAGAGAAACATTTGGAAGGGAAAAATAGTGATAGAGATAGTAGTGAAGATACAGATAAAGATCATAGAATAATGAACATCGCATAACGATGAAATCAAGCTGTATTTCAAGAAAAAATCATAGTGTGTATTTAGTTGCACACCCATTTCGACAATTTCAAGAATGCTAGTATGCACCCAAGTTGGACAGCTGACAGATCAGATAGATCAGAAAAGTGAGACGAACCCAGCGCCTGAATGACGGAGCGATTCCAGGGCCGGGCAGTTACACAGAAGATGAGTAATTGTTTCCTCCTCTTCTTCATTTTGACAGCTCCTACAGAAGTCATTATATGGAATACCAATACGTCTAGCATGGTTTCCGAACTTTGAATGACCGATAAGAACTGATAACAGAGCGCTCAGATATATTCTGTTTAGCCCTAAAATGTAGGATGTTTTATGAGAATCCATACGAGGCCACAGTAACCTAGTGATCGAGCAAGTGTGCTCCTGAGACCACCGTTCCTGAGCTGAATTAAAGCAATAATCAAGTATTTGTTTCTTGATGACCGCTAAGGGGACACCACAGAACTGGTCTATATCCATTATGGTCATCCTCGTGCCGGCTTTTGCCAAAATGTCAGCAGTAGTATTGCCAGTTATATTCCTGTGTCCTTTGACCCAAACGAGGGTAATTTTTGAATGTCTCGCCATCTCGTTTAGAGACGCCCGGCATTCTTGGACAAGTTTTGATGTAGAATACACACCTATCAGGGATTTGATAGCGGCTTGACTATCAGTATAAATTCTGATATCTCTGTTGGATATCCGATAGTACCTAAGTCAATTAGATGCCTTTTTTATAGCTGAGATTTCAGCCTGTAAAATAGTACATTCGTCGTTGAGTCGGAAAGAGATTTTCGTCCCGAATTCTTCAATGAATATGCCACCGCCGACACCTTTAGTTGTTTTAGAGCCATCTGTATACACGTTAAAGCTTTCAACACTTTCAGGTGCTAATTCATTATAATCACAGATTAAACTATACCGGAAGTTTCTCGAAATGCACAGTTCCGGAATATGGTAGTCAATAGCATGATGTAGGTTTGGTAGAAGATCTACAATCTTTGCATGACCTCTGGAACCGTAGTTCCACCTATTTGTAATACTTAGTCTGGCTGCAGTATTCTTTGCCAGTTGTTTAGCACAGGCAGCCAGTTCAGCATGGCAAACAACGCTTTACTGGGCGTTGTCCTTAGTACACCTGTTATAAGAAGAGCAGATTGTCTCATAACTTTTGTGAGAATATTTCTGTTAGATGTTTTGTCAAGTGCATACCACCAGACAATTACACCATACATCATTATCGGCTTAATCACCGCCTCATATATACAAACGTATAACGCCGTAATGGCTTTGGAAGATCTGGAGATGATATTCAAGCTCCAAGACAATTTTCTATCGAGAATAACACCTAAGTATTTTGCGCTATCCGACAGCGTAAGAACCTCGCCGTTAATACGAGGAAGGGAGAATTGAGGAATTTTGTATTTGTTCGTGAATAATACTAGTTCCGTTTTTCCTGGGTTAACGCTGAGACCGCATATAACACTCCATGAGCTTATTATCTTCAGCGCTTCTTCTAATCTCTGAGACAGAGTCTCAGCGTAAGCAACTGTCTTAAAACCTACTGAGTCAAGTCTAACCAATAGTTCGTTTATTGCCATATTCCAAAGAATAAGGGACAACACCCCTCCTTGAGGAGTGCCCCGGATGGCTTTTTTATAGACTGTTGTATCACCCAGTGAAGATACAATGGTCCGTTCAGATAGTAAGTTCTTTACAAAACTTACTATAGATCGGTCCACACCCATCCGAGAGAGGAATTGACAGATGCCTATATCGAGAAAGGCAACCAGTGTGAAGTTTCCATAACTCATGTATTTTTCAATATACCCAACCAGGGAATGTAAAGCCGTCTCAACAGATTTGCCTTTCATGTAGGCATGCTGAGAGTTTGAGAGTAGAGATTTGTCAATAGATATCCTGACATTGATATCAATTATTCTCTCTAGAGTTTTAAGCAAGAATGACGCCAGACTAATGGGTCTGAAGTCTTTTGCCTTGGTGTGAGATGTCTTTCCCCCTTTTGGGATAAAGATCACGTTACACCTGGTCCACTGAACAGGTATGTAGGACCAGTATAAACAGGCCTTGTAAATATTACTTAGCCAGGGAATGATACGATCTAAATTATTTTGTAGAACCGCTGGAATAATGCCATCAGGGCCAGGTGATTTATAGGTGTCGAAACTCCTTATTGCCCAGCGGATGATGTCGTCATCTATCATAACATCTGCAGCAGTATTATCAATTTCAATACCATGCTGATTATATGCAACTGATTCACCAGTTGGGATGCAACCGGGAAAGTGAGTATTCAAGAGAAGCTCTAGTGTCTCTTGACTACCTGCAGTCCAATTTCCGTCCGCTTTTTGTATATAACTTGGGACGGAAGGAGATTTAGACAGAATTTTGCGAAGACGACTCGTATCTGATGAATTTTCTATAGAACTACAGAATTTTCTCCAGGAACTACGCTTCGCACTTCGTACCTGATTTTTGAATTCATTAACTTTTGACTTATAAAGAGACCAGATACCAGATCTCTTTGCCTCGTTAAATAATTTACGACATAACCTACGAGTTTTCGCAATTTCGGGATCCCACCAAGGGGGTTTACCCTTATGAATACCTTTTGATAATCTATAGGCCCTATTTGTGGCTACACTAATAGAGCTTGAGATCCAATTAACGGCTAAATCAATGTCACTTCTACTTTCTATCATCGGAGCAGTAGGAACAATATCAGTCAAGGTCGCTTTATGTACCTCCCAGTTCGTCTTTCTTCTATTGAGAAATGGTTTTATAATCTTTACCTGAACCACTATTTCGAATTCTATATAGCAGTGATCAGAGAAGGAGCATTCATTTGAGACCTTCCAACCCTGAACTAGATCAATATGGTTTGCATTCACAACCGTAATATCCAGTACCTCCTTTCTATTTGAAACTATGAAAGTAGGTTCTGAACCTCTATTTACTACTACTAGGTTATTATCTAATAGAAAATCTAAAAGAGACTCACCTCTTGGGTTAATATCTGAGCTTCCCCAGACCGTGTGGTGCGCATTTGCATCTGCACCCATGAGAAGCGGAATGTGTCGCCTATCTGCCTCACACACAATATCTCTCACCAGGCGATTTGGTGGCTGGTCGCCATGGTCGTGTGCCATGTAGCTACTTAGAAGCCAGATGTTTGAGTTACCAGACTCCCAAGCAGCCGCAACAGTATCTTCGTCGCTGTAATCAGACAGGATAAAGATTTTTAAATGGCTTTTAGCCAGAATACAGGATCTTATATTACCTGAACAGTTAGCATAAAGAAGCTTATAGCCTTTAATAGAGAGTCCACGAACTTTACCATGGTGGGTCCACGGTTCCTGGACAAGGATTAGCTCCTCCCCTCTTTCGGATAAACGGAGGAGGAGGGCAGCAGATGCTGCTTTGGAGTGGTGAAGGTTAATCTGTAATACCTGCACCATCTCCTAAGTCAGGATCATAAACGACGGTTACGTCGACATCTTCCGGATCAGTATCCGAAAGATCGCTGAGGAGTTCTTCCAATTGACCTGTGGTCGATTGAGAGTTCTCCCCGCCATCTGAAACAGCGGGATCGTCGATGTTTTCATCGTCCTTCTTGGGCGGAACCTCTAGCTTAACCCTAGAGGCGGCAGCGTTGCGTTTATCGTCACTGCGGTAGATACGGAGAGTAATACTATCAAAGCCATA